AAAAACCCAGCCCAGCCCAATCTGAAGGTTCACCCAAGGCTTGGCAAATCACGATCTACTTTTCCCCCAAATCTGCTCCACGACCTTACAAGCCAGAATCCTTGGGTTTAAAGATACGGAGGGATTTGGACGAAACGCGAGTTTGGAGATAGGTAAGAGGCGACGTTTAACTCGGGTACGCCTTTGTATTGGATAAGCCCAAACTTCTGAACTTTCAAACAGTGGCATGGACAAGTCCAGAGTGTATGTTTCTTAACAGAGCCAGCAGCTCTGGAAATCAGCATCGCTTGCAATGCTTTTAGTTAATGGAAAACGGGCGAGCCGAATCTTGAGATTTTTTGCACGGGGAGAAACACGGAACTATGATAGTTCTCTCCAGGCTGTTGAGGAAAAGCAAAAAGCAGGCGCGCTGCTGGACGGCGAACAGCCCTTCTCACCTTTCCACCGCCCTGTCCAGCAAGTAGAAGAGCGCCTGAAGCACCACGTGCTGGACGCTTTTGTTGGGGTGGTGCAGCTTTGCAGTGAAGAGGGCGATGGACGCTCCCGAGGGGTCTCGCACACTCTGCGAAGGAAGCAGAAGAGGAATATTAGCGAGGTAGTAAAAGCGGGGCGGATGGGCCCTGGCAGAACCTGGGGAGATCCTCACGATTTGCAAGCCGTCTAGAAACGGGTTGTCCGTGGCTAAGGGTGATCCTGTTCGCGGTGTGTCTCAACCTCCAGAAGTTTAAGATGCGTGGACGCCAGCCATGCTGGCTGGGGAATTCTGGGAGTTGGAGTCCACGCATCTTAAACTTCCGGAGGATGAGACACAGTGGCATAGAGACTGGGTTATTCAGCAGCACAGATAATTTGGAATCAAAGCTCTTAACAGCCCTAGGCTTTGATCCCCCTGTATCCTAGATTCAACTCAAGGATCAGGGAAAATTCAGGTTCAAATCCCTGTTACCCATAGCTCTCGACGGGCAGTTATGGGCTTTGGGCCCATCTCTGTTGATGGGCTACCTTACAGGGTTGTTGTGAAAGGGCTAGGGGAAGGTAGAGGATCGGGTGCATCACATTAACCAGGCTCGAAATGGAATTAGTTGAGTTGGTTCTGATTTGGAAGATGGACGCCTAGAACCCGGGGTCTCCAACTGTGATAAATTAACAATAGATGGAGGAGACAGAGTAAATGAGTTGTACATCACGGGGTGGCAAGATACGCTGAAGGGAGCTGGTTTAAGTGGCCTTAGAAGAGAATAACAATTCCTGGATGAGGAGGAGGAGAGATTTATTATTTGCTATTGACTCTGCTGTTATGGAGCCTCTAGCTGCAGGAGCAGTGTACCCCTGAACACCAGTCGCCAAGAATGCATTGACAGGTGAGTTATTTCCTTCCATAACCCCTAGACCTGTTGACTTTCCAGACATTTCTCATGAAGTAACTGTAGGCAGGGCTGCATTAAGTCTTTTGTGGGCCCCTCCCTCCCTAATAACATCTATATAATATAACAACAGCAGCAATGAAGAGGAGATGGTTTTTAACCGTCTACCCAAAGGTAGCATCGTCACGGCCTGAGGCTCATTTTTGCATCTTCCCCAAATGCAAAGTTTCTGTAATATGGGGCGATCTGAAAGGAAACCCATCTGGGTGAGGAGTAGCTTGTTCAGACGATCTCCATCCTTATGTGGAGCCCCCCCCCCGCCTCGAGGCCTTGGGGAATTCCCCCCCTTCTCACATTTTCTGGCTGCACACCTTGAGGACAGACCGGGAGCAAAGGCTTACCAGGATGGTGAATTTTCCACTCAGGAGTTCTGACCGCAACGGTTCCTCGTGGGGTTTCAGCTTCACGATTCCTTCCTTCAATCTCGTTTCCTAAAGAGGGGGGGAGAAGACAGCGGCATCAGGCACCCACCCAAACAAAGTGAAGGAAATTCCACAGCTTTCCTGGTATATCCCAACCCCTCCCCTCTTATACGTCGGAAAGGCTTCCCTTGGTTCAACCGGGGGGAAAGGAACCCTTTCTGCAAAACGCAAGAGGCCAGATTCTTCGGTTTACCCCGACAGACCCCAAAAGTGTTGGAACCTTGCTGGGTTCTTAGACTGTTTGAAACCAGGTTTGCTTTGAAATAAGGATTTTTTAAAAAAGGAAGTCCCAACGTTGCCTTTCCGTGTCTGCCAGGTTCAGCCTAGAATGAGCAAGGAGTGATCCGCGCTTGACTGCCACACCCAAACCTCCCCGGGACGAGCCCCTCAGCCAACTTCGTCGGATGGGTTTGGACAGAAAGGGCCCCCAAGAGTGGCTCTCCCCTCCCTAGAGAGAGACCACCAGGTGCTTCCTGTTCAGTTCCTGCACCCCCAGGAGGTTTGGGGTGGTGCTGAGCCCGAACCTCTGAAAAGTCCCTTACGAAGTTGACCGCATTCGGGCGAGATGGTCTGAGATCCGCCTCGCTTATGGGTAAAATAGACGTCTTACTTTTTTCACTGTTTTTAACAAACCCAAACCCACCCCAAGGGAGTTCTGCATCCCAAACTGGACGGGATGGTGGGTGGAAAGGAAGTAGATGCAGATAGAACCCCATTCAGGCATCTACGCATCAGCAACGCCTTTCGGAGGAGAAATCTTTAACCGAGAAGCCAAGAGCTGGCCAGGATCTTGAAATCTGCTGGGGGCAATGTTTGGGACGGGATCAAGGTTCTAACCCTCATGGATATTTGGGAAAGGGAGGAGCCTGCCCCCCCAAATCCACGGCCGTTTTCTCAGCTCCAGAGGCGAGCGTGGGAAACGGTTACAGGTCAGCGAACTATTTTAAGCCGTCTTGGAAAGAGTCAGTTCATTGGTCCAGCTTCAGCCTGTGGGAATCCGTGCACGGAAGTCCCCAGGCCCCACTCCGCTCCAACCCTGGCATTACACAAGCACTAACCCTGTACGAATGGAAGAGTTCAATTGCCCGGAGGACATCGAATTTCCTGGCCATGAGGAATTTGACGGCGACGTTCCAGGAGAGAGGCGAGACATTGTACTGGACCGTCCACTTGTTGATCTCCTCAAGGAACTGCTTGGTGGCCTTCATCCCAATGTAGCAAAGCAGGAGAGAGGAAGTAAAGAAAAAAAAGGTTATTTTTTTTTTCTAGACCCCAAGATGTTGTGTAAAGAGCTGTGGTTGCAATGTTTCCAAACTCTGCCTGAGTCTGGAGGCTACATGCGATGGGAAGGAAGCAGCAGGGTTCCTCCGTTTCAGGAGCAGTTCAACCTCTTGGGGACTAGTTGGGGGGCCATGAATGGTTATGGGGTTAAAGACCCCGAACCGCTTCCAGCCACCTTGTCCTCCCCCCTCTGAGATGCAATCCAGGCTTAGAAGTTCCTAGGAAAAAGTTCAGTCGTTCCAAATGCCCAATTTTCGAGCCGTCACGCCCTTTACTGAAAGAGGCTGCAAGCGAGGGGCAGATGAAACGTCAGATGAGATGAGTCACGGGGAGGGAGTTGTTTGTGAGATGTGGAGGCAGGAAAGCGGAGAAGGATGCTGCGAAGGGGAGAAAAAAAGCAGAGATCTGCCTAAAACCGTAAGAGGTGGATTAATTGATCTTTGCGGTCTCTTCTAACTCTACAGTTCTGTGGTTGCGTGATCAGCGGTGGACGAAGCCTCAACATTAGGGCTGGGCACTGCTTCCGATTCACTTCCAAAGAATGGCTTTAGGGGGCACTCTGAAGAAACATTTCCAAATACAGGTAGTCCTCGCTTAATGACAATAGGGACCGGAAAATTGGTTGTTAAGCAAATCGGACCAGATTTTATGACCTTTTTTGGGGTGGTCATTAAGCGAATCACCATGGCCATTAAGCAAAGCACATGGTCACTGAGCAAATCCAGCTTCCCCCATTGACTTTGCTTGTTGGAAACCCCCTGGGAAGGTTGCAAATGGCGATAGGTGGCCCCAGGACCCTGCAACCATTGTAAGTGCGAGCTGGTTCCCAAGTGCCCGAATTTTGATCATGTGACCACAGGGATGCTGTGATGGTCATAAGTGTGAGGACCAGTCGTAAGTCACTTTTTTAGCACAGTTGTAACTTTGAACGGTCACTAATGGTTGTTAAGCAAGGACTACCTGTAAGATCTGAAGCACTGCCAGTCCTAATGCAAGGCACAGTGGTGACATAAAACCTTCTGTGCCTCTGAAGCACCAAGTGGGGAGGGAAAAGGGGGGGTCCTCCAGCTCTGTTCAGTTTCCAAGTCAGGGCGGCCAATTGCCAGATTAAACCTGCCTGCAACAGAGCCCCAGAAGGGTTCCTATGGGGGCATTTTTCTGCTGCTTCTGGTCTCACCTGCTGTGGCAAGTTTCTCAATAAAGAAACCCCACCAGAGAACAGCACAGGATCCAGTGAAAGGGTGGAGAAGATTATTTCTAGCAGGTTTTAGCAGCTTATCCCAAAGGTTCAGCAACAACCCAGTAAGGTAGGCCTGCCCTCTTATTCTTCCCAACCTTGACAGGGGAGGGCGAGACAAGGAAGAGGTTTTCAGTTCCCCAGGCGGCAGCACCCCCAATTCAGCATCCCTCTTGGTATCCGAGGAAGACCATCCGCTCCTCGGCTAAGTCTCGGGATGACTCTCTTCCCAGTCTGGCCCAAGCAGAGATAAAATTGATCACAGCCTTTTGCGAGCTGGAAGTCATTAGGCACAGAGCTGGCCGAGCGACTCCATCCTGAAGTGGATTCGATCCGAAGCTTTTCCGCGACTCCTAGAGAGCCACTCAGCGCTCCCAACGGGCCCATTTCAGGAGTGGAAACCTCGAGTCAGTTCCTTGCTCCAGGCCTTGGGGAGAACTGTATTTCCATTCATTTTTAAACAGCTTCTGCGCTCCCTCATTTGCAGGAGAAACGTCTTGAAGAAGTGACTCATGGAAAACAGGAGGCTCCTGTTCTGCCACGGTTAACACTTTTTCTGTCCAGCCTTTCCAGGCTCAAGCGAAGCCTTGACAGCAGCGATTCTCAACCGTGGCGACTTTATGATGGGTGGACTTCAACTCCCAGAATTCCCCAGCGATTAGCGCAAATCCGAATGGGGCGATATTCAGATATGGAGTGCGAATTGTAAATTGATACCAGGCCACGTGTAACGTGAGCCAAAATTCAGTTAAGGCGAGGCTAGCGTGCACACAGTTGAGGCTAGTGCATGCACCGTTGTGGTGGCGGTTTTAGACACTAATTGTCATTGGTGCAAAATGGAGAAAGGAAAAGATCCGTTCGAGGAAAGCTCAAAAAAGAAGGCACCCGTGTTGAAAAATGACAGCAGAAGATGACAGAGAGCAGGGATCTTGTCCTTTGTACACTTGATCTGTTTATTTCAAATGTTTATGCGATCTATTTATCGAGAAGATAGACAGGAATGATATGTAGACTTTTCTTGGTTTTTATTTTGCTTTCTACAGTGTAACTACTCTGTGACTTTGTTAAAAATAAATCTAAGTTGTAAGCGTATTCTTTTAATCTTTTACTGTTATGCTTCATTAACCAGCATATACAAAATTTACGTTTAAACATTTTCATTGCTGATTTCTGTCGAGCGGGAACCAGTTACCCTGTTTTCCACAGAAGTACCATAGAAATAGTGCAAATTCGAAGAAGGTAGAAATACAGAATATGGAAACACCATAGAAATTCCATAGAAATAGTGTGAATTTGACGAATGGAGAAATAAAGAATATGGAAACACCATAGAAATTCCATAGAAACGGTGCGGATTCGAAGAATGTGACCGTTTTGTGGGAGCCTTATCAGCGCCAACGGGGACCTATCTGTGCCACTGACAAGCCACTTCACGTGCTATACAAATATTAAACCTTACGAGGAAGCAGCCGCCAGGACGAGCAAGGACAAGGTCAGCGGGAAGCGAGCCAAACGTGCCCAGATAGAGGCGAAGAGAAAGCACGACGCGGAAACGCTCCGTATCGACTGTCGATCCTGCTTCGTCCTCTCCTCCTACTTTAAAGAGGGTTTAGGCAAGGATTTTAAAATGCTTTTACTTAAGAGAAAACCATCGCATTTGCCACAAGCATCAAGGGCCACCCTTGGGGAAGGTGCTCCAAACACCGGCTTTTTGGCACTGTTGGCCGCCTCCAAAATTTGCTAGTGCCTAGTCACAAAGCCGTGGGGGGTGTGCGTGCGTGTGTGATGCATTATTTAACACACCCTGACACTTACCATTTCACACAGCCAACCCGAAAGTCAAGCAAGTAATTTTGATAATGTACCTTTGGCACTTATATTATTCCTATCTCCTGAGAAGGGAAGGAAGCAGCCGGAAAAAAAAAAAAAAGGGAATATTCAGAAGAAAGGGTGCCTTTGTGTTTCGAGCAATGATTAACTAGTCATTTACGTTTATCTTTATCGAGAGGTTTCATTGGAAGATGATTTGCCCCCCTGCCTTCCACGTTCAAATAATATTTAACACAAGGAGGAGCTGAAACCCATTCTCGGTGTGAATCTATAGCAGTGTTTCTCAACCTTGGCCACTTGAAGACGCATGGACTTCAACTCCCAGAATTCCCCAGCCAGCAAGGAAATACAATAGTTTTTGAGTAATTGTTGAGAGGGACACAGGAAAGCGCTATTTCTTGAGCCCTCCTGAGCTTTTTATTTTTGATTTTAAACACGGCCTGCGTGCTACCTGGCTGGCTTGCAATCTCCCTTTT